CTGAAGACTTTGTTATGCTAAGCTATAAATTGCTTTGTTTTGCCAAGCTATAAATATTTTCATGACATTTCTCTACTTGTGGATTCAGTTTACTTGTGCTGAAGCAGCATGAAAGTTCAAACACGATGAGGTAACCATGGAAGGGGGCCACCTGCAACCCATTTATTAAGCTGTTGGCATTATGCTTTTAAATCTGCCAGAGAACAGAAGGGTTTGGTTATGCTGAGGAGCCTTTTATTTAAAATGGTGTGTCCTCCCCACTACAAATATTTAGCATTTTTTGTTTACCCAAAGGATATAAGAGTATCTGGAGCCCACAGCAGCCATTTGTTTAGACAAGTCTCTGGCCCTGGGTTTACCTGGCCACGCATTACGGGATGGGTTCATCGGGGAAGTTTCTATCCTGTTTCTCTCACAATTTGGCTTTTGTACCAAGGTAAACTTTATTCCAGGATTACTTACGCAGGGCAACATCCTTTACACCTCCCTCTCACTGCCGTTTCAGCTAGTGTGTGGCTTGAACCTCTTGCTGCTAGCACTGACCTTTCAGCTAGCTCCAGGTCTGGCAATGTGGTCGCAGTTTCCCTTATGCAACATCCCAAAGCACTACACGTTTCTGCCTTTGTGCTCCACTGGTTTTGTTGTTCAAACCTCTCCGTATTTTTTCGTTAGGCAGGAAACCATGAAACACTTTATAGACCCTGGCACCCTGTCAGCAAAAACAGAACGCTTCACCTCCACCACGGCATCTGAGTCCTGTGGGACGAGGTTTTAAGCGGCGGGGGGGAAGTTTGGGGGTTTGGGGAACTTGTTCCTTTGGACATGAAGTGTCCCTGACCCCTCGGCTCTGCCTCTCAGTGACTCCGGGCCTGTGTCTGCTGGTTCCTGCCCTGGCCCTGTGCTGATGCCCGGCATCGCTGCGCCTCTCGGCCCAGCAAGCAGGGATGTGGGCTCCGGCAGCAGGGCGAGCTTCATCCTTCTGGTGTTTTTTTACCCCTGCTTCCTCCTTCTGAGATTGCCCGGGTCTGGCTTCACCCGCTTAAGCCTTGGGAAGGCTTCTCTGGCTCCTTAACGCAGTCCTGAACCGGGTCAAGAGCCGGATTTTCAACCAGGAAACGAAAAAATCAAATCAAATCTCAGATCAGGGAGGAAAGAGGGGCCTGCGAGAGAGAGAGAGGGGGGCGGCCGGGCAGGGCCGCGGCGGCGGAGGGCGAGGAGCCGCCGTCCCTCTCCTCCTTCTCCTCAGCGGAGCCCCAGGGACCCGCACCCCGCTGAGGCGAAGCCGTTCCGGGCTCTGCCCGCCCCCCGCCCTCCTCCTTCCTCCTTCCCTCCCGTACCACTGCGGGGCCCGCCCGGCGCCGGGCCACCTACCGCTCCTCACGGGGGGAGCCCTCCCGGAGCCGTCCCCAGGGGATGCTGCGGGGCTGCGGCTCCTGCCGGGCTCTCCCCGGTTCCCTTCCTCTTCCGGCAGGGGATGGAGCCGCTCCCGAGGCCCCGCAGCGGGCGCCGCCGAGGAGGGAGCCCGCCCCCGGCCGCCCGCCTCCCGCCGCCCCGCTGAGGCGAGCCCGAGGGGCCGCCGCCATCTCCCTCCCTCGCGGCGCTGAGGGGAGGCGAGGGGACTGCCCGCCTGCCGGCATCGCCCGGCCGCGGTGGTGCTGAGGAGCAGCGCTTCGAGAGGCTCTTTGAGAGACGCAGGATAATAAAAGACAGCCCCAGCTCTAGTATATGATCAGTTCTGCACTTAGGGGCGTCTTGTACCACGCACTGTAGCGGTTCTTTCTTGTATCAAAGAGATATTTCTTTTAGTGAGAGTCATAGAATCATCAAGGTTGGAAAATACCTCCAAGTTCATCTGGTCCAACCATCCCCCTACCACCAATATCACCCACTAAACCATGTCCCCAAGCACCATGTCCAACCTTTCCTTAAACACCCCCAGGGACAGTGACACCACCACCTCCCTGGGCAACCTGTCCCAGTGCCTGACCACTCTTTCTGAGTAGAAATGTCTCCTCATTTCCAACCTAAACCTCCCGTGGCACAACTCGAGGCCATTCCCTCTAGTCCTGTCACTAGTTACCTGTGAGAAGAGGCTGACCCCAGCTCCCCACGCCTTCTTTTCAGGTAGCTGCAGAGAGCAATACTGTCTCTGCTGAGCCTCCTCTTCTTTAAACTAACCAACCCCAGCCACCCCTCACAGGACTCATGCTCCAGTCTCTTCACCAGCTTCGTAGCCCTTCTCTGGACATGTTCCAGGGCCTCGATGTCCTTCTTGTACTGAGGGGCCCAAAGGTGAACACAATACTTGAGGTGCGGCCTCACCAGAGCTGAGTATGTGGGGATGATCCCCTCCCTGGTCCTGCTGGCTACACTATTCCTGATACAAGCCAGGATGCCGTTGGCTTTCTTGACCACTTGGGCACACTGCTGTCTCACGTTTGGCTGCATGGCATAGCACGGCATGGGGTTGTTGTTGCCAAAGTGCAGGACTTGGGACTTAGCCATGTTAAACCTTGTCCCACTGGCCTCTGCCCAACAACCCACCCTGTCCATTTCTCTCTGCAGGGCTGTCCCTACCCTCCAGCAGATCGCCACTTCCCCTCAACTTGGTGTCATCTCCAGACGTACTAAGGGTGCACTAAATTCCCTCATCCAAATCATCAATGAAGATATTAACGAGAACACACTCATTCGAAGAAGAGAGGAACGTTATTTCATTAGTTGCTACATAGCTGTGTTGCACAGCAGCAGTTAGTCGTGGCTTTGATAAACCCAAATATTCTGGTATCTGACTAACAGAAAAAAGTAGCTGCAAAGTTCAGTTCCTTTTAGAAAAGAGCTGTTCCTCAAACAAACTGCTCCTTTAAAACACGAAGGTTTTGAACACAGAGAATGTGAACAAATTTGGTATTAATACTACTGTCTAACACTGTGTCTGGTGTCTGACCTGCCTACACAGAATGTGTGTATACAGTTACAAGGGGACTGAAAGCATCCAGCTTCATAACTTTAAGCATATAATGATTTAAAGCCAATTAATGAAGGTTTTGAATGGTCTTCTTGTTCCCTTCCAGGTAATATAGTCCAGATGGTGGTGTGGACTTATTAACACACGCTTGAGGACCTTACGCTTGATGACTGTCACAGATTCCCCAACAGGTTAGATTTGGAGGAGCTTATCTAAATGCACCATTGGGATTAACATGCTAATTAGGTCAAATAGGGAGCTGCCATTCCCTTGTGCATGTGAGTATTTATGTACTCAGTTTGGTGTGAGAAAAGGAATTTAGTATGTATAGCACATATTCTGTAAATTTAAGGATTCTGTAAGGATCGCTGCTGATTCAAGATTCTGTTTTAAGATGCTCTGGGGTAAGTATGAATTATCATTTAATGTCTAGAAAATATATGTAGATATATTATTCTGGCTCTGAGCCATTGCATATAACCAAGCAGGAATCACCTGAATTCAGACGTATTCCAAAGAGCAAAAAAAAAAGCAAAACAAATGAAAAAAACACAACTTTTCCTGTTACTAAACCTACCAACCTAAAAATTTTCTGAGCACCGAGCCCAGCTGCATTACTGCAGTCAGCCATGTCATACAATCCTGTATGCAAGCACACAAAGAGAATTTTGGCCCTGTAAGTAAATAGCAGCTCACAGTCTCAGACAATGAATAATACTATTATGATTAAGCTGCCAAATGCTTTATCTTGTAGTTTTTATTTTTCCCAAATGCCCAGAAAGAGGAAAGCAGTCCCAGCAATTCCTATGGCTGAACAGGCTGCACTACCGAAGACATCAGCCTCTGTCCGGTAGAGCTGTAGGAGCTCAGGTTTTGTTTCACAGTAAACAATATGTGCTGAGCTTAGTGCAGCCTCGCTAACTCCGTACAGCAGAAGCTGATGGCAAAGAGTGATGGCTTACACAGAATATGGTTATAGCAAGGTAGATAACTTCTGTAAGACATGACTGAGAACATCAAAACACCACACTAACTTTCAACTGACAACCAAAAGACCGAACTGATGATAAGGAAGCCTTTCATACTGTCGTAAATACGGTAATTTATGCAGGTTCTTGCTCAATGGTTTTATTCTCACCCCGTTCTTTACAGTATTCAGTTTCAAGGTAGCTGTTCTCTGGGACAGCTGATGTTGACAGACAAATTACCTTGAACAGTCAGCTGAACTAAAGGCAGAATGGTAATTTTCCTTTTTTTTGTGTGTCTCATGACTTGATTGTAGTCACAGAATAGTGTTTTTTTTTTGTGCTAATTAACAACAGATTTGTAATTCATAACAGATGTGTCACAAAGGGCCTCTAATGACAATTCTCACTTCAAGAGCAACATTGCAACAAGAATGTAATGGTGAATGCAACTGTGCTCAAGAAACTTGATGAGAAAGGGTTTGGCCTTGTTGTCCAAATGCCCAGACCTTCTTACCACCTTCTATGGTACCATGGCACCACATCTGCCCAGCCATGGTAAACTATCAGAGCTTACTGATCAGCATAGAGGCAAGACAAGCTGATCCTGCATTCCTATTCATGTAAAACACTACACGTTATGCACCACTATCAATATCAGTTTTAATATATCATAAAACTGTGAGTAAATATTGACAGTCATTTGTAAAAGTGCATGCTGTGATTTTCATTCAGCATCTCAAACACATCTGGCATTCCAAAGCAGTCATGTAAATTTATCAGCTGAGGTTTCCTTGTCCTTTATCTTTTCTCCTCAGCCCCCTAAAATATTCCTGCTCATTGTCCCAATGAATGTCCTCTTCCACAGACACCATCATCCCATCCCGTGTCTCTCTCCTCTTTCTTTCTTACCTCCCTTACTGAGGAATAAGCAGCTGCAAGTGGTATCAAAAAATCACCGCCCTGGGATCAAAATGCAGCTGTCAGCCTCTCTGTGATTCTAATACCCTGCTGGGCAAATCCTCTGGAGCTACTTACTGTTGGAAAAAGAGTCAGATAAACTGTAATACTTTTTTGTCAGTTTATTTGTGCAAAGGACAAATATACTAGAACTAAAACTGCGGACTGAAAATGCTGATTTATAGTATGAAATAAGAAGTTAGTTCCTTTCTCATTGTTTCAGTCTTAAGTTCTTGGCTTGAGCCAAGAAGTTTTGTTTTTAAAGATAAAGTTAATCTACTTTTTTATTATTTTTTTTGCAAAGGAGGAAAGAAAAGCTCCATACTGTGCCAAATGGAAATAAAACAGGAGGCACACTAATCTTCTGAGATCTCTTTGAAGTTTAGCTTTACTGATGTTGGAAAGGCTAACTGAAAATATATTTTGTTTTCAGAAGAGTGAATGGATTTCAAACATAGAAATGTTACTTTTATGTGACATGACTATCTCCCCCACTGGTACTTAGTATTCAGGCTGTTTTAACACTTAATACAACTGGTTTTGTAAGCCAAAAAATCTGATGATATTCACATATTAATTACCTTGTTACAGCTGCACTGGGATTCACTGGAAGCTATTTTCTTCAAATAAAGTGCCTTTTTCTTTTTAAGAAACATCCATAGGTAAACCTTTGACAAGTCTTGTCTTTCAAAGAGAGCTTTGTCATTAGTTTAAATGCAAAGCTGGAGTGTTTCAACTCCTCCCATCCTAGTTTTAGTCTTCCTTCCAAGTCTCATTTGAAAAAACAAAAAACAAAAAACCACCACAAACATCATGTTTTAAGCCAGTCTGAAACAACCAGTCCTATCTGTTAAATCAGATTTACTGCCAGTGTTTATGTCTTTCTTCATGAACAGTAGGCCATTTCTGAGTTATGCATGGGCCAAAACATAGGAGATCAGGTCTAAGAAGAGTATTTGAAAATGGAAGGATATTTTTGGTTTTGTTTGTTTGCAAAGAACCTTGGCCAATTTTTTCATTCGTTCTATGATTTTCTTCATAGTTTGTTCTTTACACTGAAACTGGAACATTACTGTGAAATGGGGTTTCATTTTTGTAAGTTTTGAAAGAAAATATTGTAATTTTCTTCATTGCATAAAAAATGTCACTGAGTTTATCAAACGTATAACAACAGATGCCTCAATCATAACCTAGTTTAGACCAGCACTTTGAACTGAAAAAACAACATCAGTTATTTAATGCTTACTCACAAATATAGTATTATTAAAAAAAAAAAAAAGCATTAGATGTATTTATTGGCTCTACCCAAGGAGCAGATGTTTACCACAGTCGTGCTGGGCAGTTCTCAGTAATTGCACATATGTGATAAAATAAGTGGAAAAGAATTAAAGATGCGACTGTCATCTTAAATCAGATTGTTATGTTTATGCTGAAACAGTGAACTGACCTAGATTATTCAGAATTTCAGAGCTAACCGTGATCCCAAAATTACTGAAGACAAAAATGAATGTACAACTTCAACAAAGGACTTCTGCTTGAAACCAACACCATTAGTCCACCAAACCCAAGCATTAGAATATCCCAATGCTACAGACTAATTAAAATGTTTCTGCTGAAGTTACAAGTATACTACCATTATGTGAGCTGCTGGCAGTTATTATGATATTAAAGAAATACCAAAGGAGTTTTGCTTTCCTTTTTTTTTTTTTGTTTTTCAAAATAGTCTAAAGCTTGCTTACACACTCTTGAGAATTCTAATTACTTACCCAAATATTCTGTTGCTAAAATAAACAGAAGCATACCACATACAAAAATGTTATTTTATTTTTTTCTTACGAAAACCTGTGGATTTATCCAATAAGCAGGTTCACTTTTTCAGACAGATCTGATGATGTTGTTTTCCTTGAAAGGAATACATCCAATAAATGCAATTAAAATCTGTGCAAAAGCCATAGAATTGGGTTATTTTATACGTCAGTAAAAACAAACTTTCTGTCCATAGATAGTCCAAATTAATTCTTCATTTTTTTCCTTTTCATTGCTTTCCATTCACCCTCCTGTGTAGCAAGGCTACTAAGAAGCTCTTTCACTTTTCTCTTTCTGGCTGAATCTCTGTAAAGCAAACAATGAACATGTTAAAAATTTCAGGGAGATTATATTAGGGAAAGTAAGTAAGTAGATTTAGATTGTAATCATTAATTTATAAAAAGCCCCCAAAATCTTAAATTTCATTGACATACACTTTAAATGACAACTTTCTGCATGTTCTTAACTAGAGAAATGAAACTGCAAAGTTGAAAGTTAATACAATCTCTAACAAAAATACCCGTTTTCCCTAAATTGCCAACTTTTATTTATTTAAATAAGTAAGTTTTGTATTGTTGATCGTTCGTGTCAGTCTCGTCACACAGCAAAGAAATGGACAGTAGAACAACTCAAACTGGTGCTGAAGAAAAGGCTACATTACCTCTCCATGATTTCTGAAAGTTGCATTCTAGCCAGAAACTGGTTATCCTTCCGAATCTCACGAACAGCTCCCTTAAATTCACGTTTATGCTTGTGAATCAACCGCTTTCTTTCTTGCTCCTTCTTGGTGCATCCCTGCTTTCTTCCAAACTCTAAACTGAAATGAAAATGTGTATAAGTGAGCACAGAACACCTTACCAAGAAGGACTTTATGTATATAAGAAGTGAATTTTTGTCCGAACACTAACTGTATTTTTATTCCTGCATATTATGTAATCAACTTGCAAAATAAGAAGCTGCCCCAGTGAACATACTGGAAAAACGCTCACCAGACTTTCTAACCGCATGTCATCATCATGCAGATGACAAGCAGATAACATTTTCCAGAAAGCAGATACGCTTCAATCCCCCCATATGTAGCCTGCATTTTGTTAAAAAAAAAAACAACAAAAAAAACCAACAACAACAAAAACTAAAGCAGACAAATAAAAGATGTCTGGAGAAAGATGGAATCTCCCAATATATCTTAAGTTTTTGCAGACTTCCTCTACAGATGAATTCTGAAGAAATGGTTTAATCAGTTAACTTGGTGATAAATGTGTATGGCAGAGGAAGGCTGTCCTCTTAAATTAGTATAATAAGACGCAGTTATGCCCTTGTAGATAACAAACAGGCCTAAATGAGTCAGCAGCCAATATACGGCAGACTTCCTGAATCAGAACACAGTTCTATTATCTACAAAAGGAAATTAGCGTTATTTAATTCCAAACCAGAATATAAAAGTGCACATGATCACTGTGAGGTCTATAAAAAGAAAAAAGCTGCATGTTTTTTGTCATTGCTACTGTTGAAAGGTAGAAAATTGCTTGGGAATGAGGAACGGGGCAATCAAGTAGGCCTAAAGGAATGCTTAATCTGACACAGTATTTGTTAAATTCCGTGATACAGAGCACAGGAATATTCTGCCTGATCTACTGCACCAGTGATAAAACCCTCAAAATTTCACCACCCATCTTTACCTTTATATATTTCAGTATGATTTTTACAAACAACTCACTATTGTTCTTGAGATGTGCTTTTACAGTGCACATGGTAAAATATCAGAAAACAACAACCCCTTCTCAACTGGAAATTTATTAATTTTTAACTGATTATATAGGCAAAAACTGATTTCCAGTGCTATTTTTTCCCTCAAGATAATCTTTGCTCTCTTTCTTACAATTCCTCCTTCCTTCTTCCTTCCCTTCCTACCACCCAAGTAGCTGGTCCTTTTCAGTTTGTGCACAAAATGCAACAAAGAAACAGTTAGCTGGTTTATGTCCTGTTTTCCAAATCTGTTTAGTCTACTGAAAATCTCAATGTTTACATACACTTTTTCTTTTGCACTAAGCATTGCTTTACTTACACTTTCACAATCTTAGGCGTATACTGTTTCAATGGCACTGGCTTCTTTTTCTCACAGATCAGTGGAGTATAGAGCTTTACTTTGCTCTCTAGCTCTTTCAGAGCACCGTGATACCATTCCTGGAAATGCAAATCAAATTACAACTTTAGAAGTGTTTCAGAGACACCATAATTCACAACCTATGGTAAATTTAATCAGAAGTAATGTCCTCCCCACATGTTCTTCTTCCAAGTGAAATCATTACTTTTCTTTAGGACACCGCTGACACTGAAATGCTGCAACCCTTCTAGGCTGGATAATTTTAAACACTTTAGGAATTCTAGTTAGATGGTAACATGGACAATAAGAAAGGTCTGAAAACAGTTTCACCTAACAGAGGAATAAGCAAGACTAAAGCAAGCTAAATTCAGGAGCCTGCCTTTCAGAGTCATTCTAAGGTTGACTGTTAATTTTATTTTGATGGCAAAAAAATAGGTCATTTTGCATCACCTGTATTACAAAATCTTATTCTCCAAGGTCATGTTGTGATGCCTCTTTGAGGTGGGGACAATTCTGCTATTCTGCTTAAGTCAATTCTGCCTAAGAATTTTATTGTTAAGGAACACATACCTGCATTTTTTCAGGATATTCATTCACTGGCACATGTTGTGTAAGAAGTATTTTGACAGGATGCATTATTTCATGCAATGATGGTATAGACTCATACAGAACTGCACATCTTCTAATGAGATCAAAACACAGGGCTAGACACGATAACCTGTTGATGTACAAAAGAATACAAAAATTTCACTTGCAAAAACTGTACTGGGTTTTCGAATAAAATTAATTATATTAATTAAATTTGGCAGCATAAACATTGTCTATTATTAGGACTGCCTAACACAGCCAGTTACAAGGCTGTTCCTGGTTGTCAATTCAGACTAAAATTTCACTTTTATTGCAAGCAAATAAGAAAGAAAAAGAAATCCATTAGCAACAAATCTTTATGTCAGCTCACAAAGCACATGCCAATGCTGTGTCTGCTGCTTGAGTAATAGGTTTTTATACTGGTTCTAGAAGTGTCACACTTCAAAACAGAATTAGTAATTTTTATTATTAAATTTTGTAACAAAATCCTTACTCATCCCTGAAATAAATTATGGTGTAACAGATGCACAAGGTAAAAAAAAAAAAAAGTCAGACATGCTTAATGAACATATTTAATTGTAGTCTTTTCTAACTTTAGGATTTGATTACTTCAGCGTCTTTTCTAACATGGTATTTGAATGTAAATACAGTATTTGCTTCAGAAGAGTATGACAGTTCAAAGTTCTGAGCATGTCCTCTGTTTCTGCATCATTTCATCAATCCACAGCTATACAGAAAAGGAATGGAAGGGCTGAGCAGTCCAACAAATGCTCTGTGTAATGTTCTGACAGAAGATTAATATTTCCTATGCATAAAAATAAAGCAGAACATTTCACTGCTCTTACTCTTACATACCTGATATGATTCACTTCTGTTCTGCTGGCTTCCTTTAATCTAGTCACAATACTCAATGGCAAATTTTGCTTCTGCCAGCTTTCCAAATCCTTCTTATCACACACCAAAAGCAGTTCTAAATTTTTTCCCAGTGGTGTGAACGGATGCACTACAGTATAGCCTACAAAACAAGAATAATAATCATAAATAAATCAGTTCTCAGAATTACATCTAAAGAAGTTTTTAATCATACTGCCTTAAAACAAAACAAACAAACAAAAAACACCTTTATCAGTAAAAGGATCTTCTAAAATAATGGACCACAGGCACAATCCTAAGTACGTACAGGGAGAGAGAAGACTAAAGAAGATGCCTGCCCTGCGGGGAACAGGATGGACAGCTGAACTGCCAGTGAGAGTGAAGCATTGGACATGCTTAAGAGGAAAAGGCAAAGAACAGGACTTTCCATTGGAGTTACGAGTAGAAGGCTCTGACCGGAAAGTGGGCAAGCAGCAGAGTGAGCACGAGCAGGGAAAGCTCCCAGTTACTGCACCACACTGAGCCTCTCCAGTGACCTCTCGGCAAGGGCCCTCCGATGCATGCTGCAAAGTTCTCTCCCACTAAGTGGTTTTAAGATGCGAAGTAAATGCAGAATACACACTAGGGCTGGCAATACAGAAAAGACTTGAGAATCATTGCGTTAAATAAGGTGATCTGTGCAAATGGTACTTGCAGACCAATGTGAAAGAAACATTTGTGGGGTTTCATGTCTAAGGTAAAGAATAATTTGCAGTCCCTGTGCTGGATTTTTTTTCCTTAAGTCCGGCAAGCTTACAGTTGAACTTATTTCAAAACTTTATTATTATCTGCTTTACTTGTGAGAGGACAGCATCTTTCATTAACAATTCCATTAGCTGAGGCTATCGACAAAGACAATCCTCTCCCACTCCCTCCCCCTTCAGATTTTCTACTTTCTTTTTAAAAGTCTAAACCAGATCAAAACCTGTACTTCAGTCTTTTATGAAGTTGTATTCTCTATCGTTTCTCCATGTGAGAAATGGCCAAACTTGCAAAATTAAATCAGAAGGAGTTCTGTTTGCTAATGTTACTTATTGTCAAAATTGAACCCAAAGATTTTTGTTGGTTTGACAGCATATCAGCATTCCAGAGAACTAGCTGTCAGCTCATTTTAAAATAGTCTCTGTTGACAGCAAAACCATCATGTTTATCAGCAATAGTTCCACCACAGATACTTAAAAACATGACTGGGTATTTAGTAACTTTAGAACATCAATATTGATTGAAAAACTCTCAGAAAAAGAATGCTGTGCCTCCATAGCATATCTTATTGAGCTTTTCCTCACTGCTAACAGAAACCAACACCATGCAAATTTAAGTAGTGCAAAAACATTAGCAGAAATACAAAGCTAAAAAAAAAAGTTAAAGCTTACATCATCAATCACCCCTAAATATTTTGAAGTAGTTCATCTTAGAAAATGCTATATTTTAACTGTACCCAAAACATTTATAGTGCATATATTCCTAAGAGAGCAAACAAAGGATAAAATACTTTAAGTGCTGTGTAATTCACCCACTCTGCAACCTCTTCCCACCTCTTTCTAAGAGTTCAGCTGTCGGTGTTCTGAGAATCCAGGGCTTTAGCTCTGATGCAACCCAGCTGTGTAACTTTGGCTCACACTTCAGAGGAAACTGCTAAGCTGTGAGAAGGAGCTGGGTGAGTCTGCAGGGTACAGCCACACAAGATAATAAAGGTGAAACTGCAGCACTAAGCTTGTTGAGAAAGGGATCGTTAGTAGCTCAAGAATTCACAAGAAGAAAAGACTGTCAGCACGGAAAGGCATGAAAATCCTAAAGCAGAAAAAAAGGGAGCTGCAAGACAGGTTAGTACCACTGAAGACATACTGTAATGCTGCAGCAACAGAAGCTGAACCTTCCTCACCTAACAGATGACTACCCTAAGCACAAGGACTTCAGGTGATGAGTACAGTAATATTTAGCCTGTAGTTCATTAAATACCAGATGTCTTCTGTGAGGATTTGCCAACAAATCATTGCATTTTTCACTTGAGAATATCCTGCCTGCAGTCTCCTTGTGCATGCTGACACTCCGAGTGACCCAGGGATACTAGCACATGAATTAGTTACTGTATTCTGACGAAGCTCTTCTAAGTGAATTTTTGTCACTAATCTTTTTGGTAAGAAGCCTCAGATCTAGAGTAACTTTAAAGCTTGAAATGAGTCCCCCCCCAAAAAATCATAGAAAAAAAAATCATAGAAAGGCAAAGATTGGCAATTAAAAATCATTTGCTAGCATATGGATCCCATTGAAAAGGCAGCCTCATTCTCACTGTTGTCTGCACAGACTGCTAAGTTTGCAGTTATGTTACAGCACAGCCTAATCCTCTGCTTGGGGGGAACAGCTGCCTTCTATTAAACTACAACAAATCCTTGTCAAACACACAAAAAGGAAAAATACCAACTCTGTGTTACATTTCACTCACTTATCTGGGTGATATGGCTAGTAGTAGATAAAGGAGGCTATTTGCAGGGTATTCAATGGGAATCCCATTGGAACTGCAAATATTAGAGTGCAGTCCAATCACATGGACTACTTAGAACAACAATATTATCAAAATACTGCATGGTGGGCAATGCTGCTTTATTTCTCTTACTAACTTCAATTCTTTCTTTCCTGCCAACGTTAGAGAATCTCATTCATAAGAAGATGTCTGAGAATCAAAATTGTGCATGGCCAACCTAGCAAATGATTTTGGTCTTTTTTTCAAAATACTAAACTCAGTGTGAAAGATAATTATTTAAAAGAAAAACCCTAATATAAAAAAATAATTACTCATTTATTCTAAACAAGCTCACCCTGGGCTTGCTTTCTGGGGAGTGATATGTGAAGTACTCCAACAAGAAAATTGATGAGTTCTGGTACAAATCTTCTGGAGAGAGAGATGTATTCCAGGAACAAACAGCATATAAATAAACCTTTAATAACATCTTGCAGCGTTGTGATGCGACACTATAAAAAAGAAAAGAAGAAAAAAGCACATCACATTACTTAGTAAATGTCTATCCACCACAAATATGGTATCTCCCCCAAAGTAGGGATATTTAATAAATTGTACACATTTAAGATCTGTAAAATGATACCCTTTGGACTTAAACGAAAACATACTGGCTTTCCCTTGCACACACTAAAAAGTATATGCAGAAATAAGCAGAAAGTCTGTCAGAAGAGGTTTAGCCACTAGAAGGTGCTAAATCACAAACTATAAGTTCTTTTTACTTGTTTGTTTCTGCCATCTGACCTGTTCATACATGTCAGTCCTACTTTTTGCCCTCCAACGCCCCATATCCATTTCAGAAGTGAAAAAAAGAAACATCTGGCTGAAAGCAACTTGGTTCTGTGACAGTAATAGAACTAACTCAAGACTTTCAAAGCATATAAACAGGACGTTTGGATAGAAAAATTAGGACACATTTTAACTGCACTGCAATGCATTGTGCTAGATAGGATTTTAAAGAAAACAAACACTGACAATTTTTAATTAAAGATCTTTCTTAAGTAGGACCAAGCGCAATATACAGAAGAGAAATCACATGAATGCTTTTATACTTTAGTCAGTCTGTTCCATTAGTCCTATGTAGTTCATCATATACAGAATTCTTGTATGACAACTCGAAAAATTATCAGCCAGAATTTTGTGTTGGGCTGTACTGTTTTTTTCTCTTTTTTCTTCCAGTTACTATCTGTGACTATACCCAACACAAAGCTGCCTTTTCAGAACAGTTCCAGTATCTGTGTTAGTTATAACTTATAGTTGGGGTCCTAGGAAGAAACAAGGAAGAATATGCCAAGATACAACATCATAGACATACCTTAGTAAGCAGCTGACTCATGTATATAAAAGCAGGAGTTACAACTGGATGCCAGAAGTCAGATGTTGGAAACAGCAGAGATGTAATTTTCAAATAAATAAGCTGACAGCATATAAAAGAGAGTAAAAAGGCAAAATATAGTAAGATGTAATTCCCAACTGATTTTACACGTATCTGTGATGTATAAGTAACTGTCATGTAGTAGTCTAAAAACATTAGGATATAAATCATTGAGATACCTGATATGATACACAACCTATTTACTGAGATGACTGTTTAAGTTTCATGAGAAAATGGACTATCCATTATATGTCTAACACTGCATTAGTTCAATGAGGCAGCTGGAGGAGCAACCAAGAACTATGCCCACCATGCTGACCATTTATTTCGTGAAGAAATGTGATGAAGTTCTGCTCCCCACAACCACACACTCTCATATCACATAAAGAAATGAACAAGTGGCCACAGAGGACCTGTGACAAATTTCAACACGTCCTCAGCACAGACAATTAAGTAACCAGGATCCTCAGGCACTAGCAGGTAACAAGTACAAGCCAGCAATTATGTACACTCTTACTGAAGGGAACGTCAGAGAGCTGAGTGACCTCCTGTCATGACTATAGGAACCTTAAACATCAGCTGCAAGGTAATTCTATAAACAGACCTAAGTGGACATTTACACAGTAAGCTAGACACAAGTCAAGTTCTACTGTTTCAGCTGCTTTCCTCCATGAATTTTTTGTTGTAAATAAATATTCTCCTGAACTGTTTAGTTACTAAACACCCCTGATCAAATTAGATTAACTGTAGGCATGTGTAAAGTCTACCAATGCCAACTGGTCTAAGGAACTTTCATTCCAACAAGTACTTTGGCAACAGGACAGTGATGTAATTCTACCCTAAAACACAAAGATGGCTTGAAACCTCAAAAAGTCCACTGAATGGAATGAAACTCAACAGTGCCACTGGTGTCTGAAGGGTGACAGTGACAAAATAAAAAATTACAAGCTCTCTACAACACGTTTCCTGCAAAATGTAAAACATCCTGAATAGAGACTCTTCAAAAAAGAACTCAATATAAGTGTTGTCCAAGCTGTAAGAACCAAGACAGCCAAGTAAATCCTTCTGTCTATTTTCTTTCAATACCCTACATATTCCATTAGGCAGCATTTCTTTCCCAGCTTGATGAAACAAAAACAAGTAATTTCCTTAGGATTACTAACTTATGGTGGCTCTTTGAAACATTTTATTATAATAATCAAATACTTATTTTCCATATACTCCACCTGTCAATTCCCCAACAGTCATTTATCTAGAAACTCCATTTACCTAGGAGTGTGCTCAAATTTAGCATGGGCACTGAAATTTTGAAATATTACTAATACAAGATGGAAAGGTCAGTCCTTTCATGTTGAGTCATTAATTTAGCATCACTCATATTGATACCGTATTTTTATATTTTGAAAAATACGTTGTATTTTTATATCCAAACATTATTTCCCTGTTATTTTTGTGATCCTTGGAGACAGTGAACTTTTATGGAACACTTTTTAAATATTTGCACTTAACATAATTAAAGAAATGATGACTTAACTGACAACACTTTTTTCTAGAAATACCCATTGAAATGCCAACAAGAAAACAAAGAATGTTCTGCTACGTAAACTGGAGCAGCAATTTTAAGATCTTTTCCCTTTATTAACATTGCTAAGTCCCACTTCCACTCTGTAGAATGTTTTGTTATCTGCAGAGAGGCAATTTAAAATGTAAGAAACCTAAAAAGACACAGATGAACTTACACGCTTTGAAATACAGAATTGCATTTCCTATCATCTGGCATTTATTAGCATTTCTGTACTCATGTAAAGAGCAAGAGATTTTCTTAGCAGTAGGTGTTTGTTACCATGTCTAAACCTGGAAATGTTGCACGGCCTTTGACTTCAATTGCTTCTTCCATGTCATGCGCAGCGTCTCGAAGGACAAACTTCATACTGCCACTGGCTGCCTCAGGAAACATCTGGCAGAGATTGTACAATGGCCTATTAACAAGAAATCTAAGTCATGATCAAGTTACACCATTGATCTTAACCAAAAAAGTGATTTTAAGCACCTGTAGGAAGATTTCTTGTGTTCCTTCTCTAACATAACAAACTCCCCAAAGCAAATTATTTTTAGAGAAACAGCCACCCTGTATAGATTACCACTGTAATACTTTTGGTTTACAGATATATTTTTTATTGGGCCTTACAAGATGATCTCTGATTTGGTGGTTTCTAAACCTTAAAAAAAAAATTTAAAAAATTAAAAACTTTAAAAAACACACTTAAATCATTTGATACGATCAAAGCATATCTTTCTGAATCACCTAACTCTTCATTCTACTGTACAAAGGTAAACTGGCACATAATACTAGGCAGCTCTCTACTTAAAATACTCTCAGGCAATGTTAAGCACTTAGAAAGGCATCAATGTAGTTAACCAAATAATTACTTAAAACGAGAAAAAAATACCCACAAAGTTAGGCCAGTTGCTGGCCCGTGGACACTGCCTACAGGGAAGTGCAGGCAGGAGCCTGCATCTGCTTTTCAGTATTTTTTTTAAATGTTTGTAGAGATATTAATAAATCCCAGTTCTATAAAGCAATCAAAATGTGTTTAGACATTTTTACAAAGGTGCAGCATGTGTGACTATCAGCAGGTTGATGCTCTTACTGATGAATGCAACAGAGCAATGCATGCTAAAGCTGCCCATAGCAGATTTTTAAAAACTATTTATTCTTCAATATACTATTTTTGATTTCATGCTACATACAAATAATTAATTGAAAGGAAGTTGTCTAGCCTGCAAAGTTTAGCTACGAATAGCAGACTAGTTTTAGGTGGAAGGGAACTTTGGAGATCATCTTGAACAATTCCCTGCTCCAAGCATCGCTAACTTCAAAGCTCCCTCAGGTTGCTTGCAGTTTTGTTGAGTTTTGTGAACCTTCAAGGGTGGAGATTCTACAGCCTCTCTTGGAAACCTGTTCTGATGTCCAACACCCTCATTGTGAAGAATTTTTCCTTCCACCTAATTGGAATTTCCCTTGTTGCAGCTTGTGTCCATTGACCATCATGGTTTGCTGTATTCCTCTGAGACAAATTTGACTCTCTTTGTCCATTACGTGTTTGAAGACTACAATGCCAAATTGACTAATTCCTGCAAATTGTTTCTTTGGAACATTTATATGGGCTTGCTATAACACTCTTTTTTTCCATTTTCATCTAGTTCCAAACCTGAGTGAATTACAGAATGGAAACCCATGTAAAGTCGCACAGGCAACAGCACACTGTCAGCACCTTGACCAGCAGTATAAATAACTTCATATACAGAAGTTTGCATGCACACATGGTATATCATTTATTCATGAACCATGAAAAGCATTTTACAGATGGAAAATTACATTCTGAGAATTTGAAAATGTCTTGGTACAATTAATAGCTCAAAGAATAGGTGAAGCAGAGTCAAAACACTAAGAAGCCAGAGAATCACCAGTTGCCTACAATCCCAAGAGAATTGTTTGAAACAAACTACACTCAAAATGCCTTACACTATGCAGCTTTTCTCCTAAAACCATAATGTAGCAAAAATCAACAGGATTTGTTACTTACAGGATGAGCTTGTCAATTGCTTTGAGGTCTGGTAAATCCAGGTTTGCTAACTCCCCAATATAGTCGAAAAGGAAGCCCAACAGTTTCTGCAAGAAGCACAGCATGTTACAAATTATCAGTGTTCTTTCATTGCAGGTATTTTTTAACAGCACAGAAAAACAGTGATACAAAAGTCAGAAAAGAAACACATGGTACCTTGATTCTACTGCTATCTACAACATAGGAGCATATATAGTTTATACTGCTACCCAAATGCTTACTAAAACTTATGAAGGAATTCAAAGTTAATTTCAAACCTTAAAATGCAAGACAAAACAAAACAAACAAACAAAAAACATACTTCCAACTTTGTTTTGTTTCCCACTGCAAGGCTTGGATGATTGCATTTCTGAATCCTTTCCAGAATAGTAAGCTGTTGCTCTATTGTTCTTCCAACCAATAAAGACTTAAATTTCTCATAGGATTCGGGAACTAGAATGTAAAAACAAAAATTGACAAGACAAAACCTCAAACTTAGGATATTTAATTAAAGCTATCATCTAATAAACTTCCAATTTGAAAGCGTTACTTTTAGAAAAAAGGATACCATACAGTCTTTAAATAGTAAGCTTTCAAACACTACTAACCTGTCAAGATATATGTGAAATAACTTATGAACATAACTCAAAAAATAAGGTAAACATTTTCCAGCAATTAAGATTCAGTTCATCCTGTATTTGCAGCTTAGGCTGAGCATGATGATGCTGACACCCACACAATGCATCAGAATTAAACTTAAGCATACATTCAACCATAAATTTGCCATAATACAATTTGCTCCATGCTTAATTCACATCCAACTAACTTTGGCATGAAAGGATATTAAAAAAGTAAGAAACTTGCCACTGATGGAAAACAATTGTACAAAAAAAAAAAAAAAAAAAAAAAGGCCATTTCCAGTCTAGCTAACATGCTATAACACATCCTAACTGGTTCCATTTTTTGAGTTATTTTAATGTGACCACTTCCTGGTTAAGACAAAATGTGGATGCAATTTAAAAGGCTGTGTGTACTGTATATTATCTCCTTTTGATGAAAAAACACAAAAACATGCATTTAGAGAAGCTGTTTGAAAGATTGTTCAATTTGTTCAAAGATTGTTCAATTGTAATGGGTAATTTTATTAGAGAAACCTATACTCGGACAAGAGCTAGTTGTATTAAGTACTTAGTATTAATGCATGTTTTGTGTAGTGCTTGGAATGTCTCTCTCTTCTTCCTCCTAGGCACAGACCCAAAAAGAGTTAAATTTCAAGTGTTTCCATTTAAAAATACTGCAGTGTTATATCACAGGGATTACACCTCAGGGTCCTGCCTCTTTAAGCATTTTCTCTGACAAAAATGCCCGTCCAAACACTAGAGAAGGAAACCTCTCCTCATGTAAATACAGGTAACAGAACAAACACTATTTAAGATGCCCTTATGCAAAACACTAGCATTTTGAATTGGGTGTACTGCTTGCTGGCCTTCAAAAATGAGCACAGATCTTTCTGCTTTAACCACTAACGTGTATTTGTCAATTCTATGGCTGCTAGAAGCAGCAGAAACAGCTCTGGGGCAAAAACGATTCGTTTTCCACTGCTCACAGTATGATCAGTGCTAATCACTAAGAACAGGAGCTACTGACTCCTCCTGGAATAGTATGAGACAGTTACAAAGCAAAAAGTCATAGATGAGCAGGAATATTTAAGATCCTGCAGGAGAGAGAAAGAGACTGGTTATAAACTCCCTAAAAACAAAAGGGATCTCTGAGTCTGTCCTTTGCTTACCAGCAAATGTGTAAGGAAGCTCTGCTTTGGCAGCTTCCATTTTTGGATCCAGTCCCTCCATATTCTGTGACTCATTTCCAGTTGTCTCGTCTTTCTTCTCTTCTTTATTTCCTGCAGCTTCTTCTTCACTCTCAAGGTCAGATTCAAGATCAGAGTGGTTGTCTGCAGCAACATCCTCCTCATCTTCAGCAGCAGACTCTTCCTCACTTTGGTCATTCTCACTATCCTCCTTCCCATCTTCCTCTTCTTCCCCTTCCTCTTCTTCCTCTTCTCCCTCCTCCTCGTCCTCCTCCTCCTCCTGTTCTTTGTCCTCCTCCTCCTCTTCATTTTCAATATGGATTTTTCCATCCTGCCAGTAGAGAAAATGAGCCAGTTAAAACAGTGATAAAGTAACAGCGCTTCGACAGAATCACTATGGAAAGCTTTCATTAAAGGCCACCCTGACCAAGCAGCAAACGGCAGCCATGCCAGCCAAGAAGGAATTTTAGGGACAGAATGTGCATACAAGTATAAGAACAGTGGGGTATTTCCAAGGAGCTTGAAGAAACATAAAGAGGTAATATCTGAGGACTAAAACAATCAGCAGGAAAGTAAAGGACACTAGCAGATGATATAAAAAAAAAATTCAATGTCACTTAAGAAGCATTCTCGGTTAGAAAATACATTTTTAAACTATTTCTATGTCTTAAAATAGCGTATCAGATAAATAATTGTTCCCATTCTGATTTTCTTAATTATTGATTAAAATTCACATCCACAATTTGCATTCTCTGATCTGAGGACAACAGCAATTCCCTTGCTACTCACTTGTAAGAAGAGGAAAGGGCTGTTTGAGAAAGTCACTCATCCTCAGGCTGAAATTCTGTGAACACTGCGCTGAATATAGTGCAAATTAAAAAAAAATAATAAAAATAATAAAAGACTAAAAGGGCTAAGACCTTCTCTTCAGACCAGAAGCCTTCCAACAGACAAGACTGGGTAAAGCCATGAGCAACCTGGTGATTTCATAGCTGACTGCTTTGAGCAGGAAGTTGGACCAGAGTTCTCCACAGGTCACTTCCAAACTAATTTTCCTACCTTCGTTTGAGAATTCTGAAAAAGTTGACATTTCAAATCTTACCTTGTAAGACAATAAACGTCTGTCATCTTTGTCCAGGATAAACCCGTCAGCTAGATCATCAGCTGACACGTGGCTGGGTTTCTTTTTAGTCTCTTGTTCATCTATTCCACGCATTCGACGTAGCCGATCTGCCTGTGTTTTAGGAGAAATACAATACACAGATGTGAGCCATCTAGATGAATCATGTCATTACACCAGAAGGGAAGCTCCCGAAGATCCCTCAAATACTACAGCTAAGAAAATCAGAGGAAAAAAAAAAGTTAACTAGCATTCTCCACCTACCCAATGAAAAGAAAAGGCAGTGACTTGACATACTATGGGCAAAAGCTGATGATACTTTATTTTTGTTGCAGAGTGCGATGTGATAGCCTAATCCAATAATGTAAGTGATAACACTCACATGGATGGGTTTAAATTGGGTTTACAAAATGTTCTCACATTTTATTTATTTTTTATCTGCCTGGTTTATGAGACAATGCACCATTACTAGAAAACAAAAGCTTCTAAATGCATTTTATGATTCTGCAGTGTTTATCTCTTTTCCCTATGTGTAACAAGTTTGCAGTAAACACAATGACGTCATAGGATTTTAACATTACACTGAATTTGTAAATAGACTCAATGGGCAATATCTGAAACACCATTTTTCAAAAGCATTTCTGCCTACAGAACCTGCCTTCTGTCTGCTACAGACTGCCTTCTGTCTGACGGACAGCTAGACTGTCTGTCAAACAAGACAAGAACAGAAAAGAAAAAGATCTTCCTGCTTTGCTGTTAGCTACTGAGCTTTCTGAGGTAACATGAAGATACTGCATGCCTACAGTATTAAATGTGTCTTCAGTATCCCAAAAGAAAAAGGAGAGAAACATTTAACAACTAATTCACTCTTTTTGAAGGACACAGAGCTCCACGTGGCAGAAGCAGCATGCAGTATTTCCCAAGAGAACCCTATTCCTATGCAAAACAAAGCTATACACATAATACCACTGGAAGACTTGCCACACCAGAATAAAGCAATAAATGACTTGGCAGTGCAGTAATTCAACTTCTGTGCAACAAGATATTTCCCCTTACTGAAGTGCATCTTAACTCTGAATAATTTAAAACATGTATAGGCAATTCAAAGTGATACTGTATTTTTATTGAAGAAATGTCAACTCATTTCATAAGCCTCACTAGTCATGTACTAAGTTGTATGTTTTTGTCTTTTATATCAGATTGCAAACGAAACACAAACAGAGATTTCCTGAATTCGCCCTCTGACGAATTGCAGTTTAGTACAGCCACTTTCAATCTAAGGTCAAGCAATGAATGTAAGTGGTCACTCCCAAAAGACAGGTTACAAAACAATCTAAAACCATAAATGGTGTACCTCGAGCTTCTGGAGTCGCGCCTGCTCCTCTTTTGCCAATTCTTCTTCTGTCTTCATCCTTTCTGAAGGTTTTGCTTTCATCTCGAATCCAAGTTCTCGAACAATCATATCATATTCATCAGGCTAAAGAAATATTTATATAGTTGTTTATTATCTTAGTTTTATTATTCTGCTTTGCAGCCACCCCTCTGCCAGACATAACAACTAAAAAGTAAGACCTTTATGAAATAAGGCAAAGACCATGTCCAGAGAAAGCCACAAGAACATTCAATTCAGTATTAACATAAGGAACAGAAAGAATGATTGAACAGAAACTCTCCCTGAATTCCCTTCCATTTAAGTTACTCACAACTGAAAAATGTACAAATAGTATTACTTATTAAATGAAAAATTTCAAATATTTTTATTAATAAAACACCATTTTCTCAAAGAGCAACTCAAATTAATAAATTCATAGTTTACATTTCACTTTATAAATACTGTCAGACATGAGCTAAGTCTTTGCTATCTTATTAGTTACACAGATGTCTATCTCAAAGAAAACAAAAAAGGGATGCTGATATTCAGTAAAGCTTAAGCAGTGTACATGGCAGAACAGTTACTAGCAGATACAGCACTGGACTTGTGAATACAGACTTCCTGATAGATGTTTAAATCACTAAACCATACAGTGATATATACTAAAATTCAGTTCTACTGATTTTTCTTCCCTTGTGCCACTAGATGACTTTCTTCTATTCAACGTTAATGTTATAGAGCATTACTAATTCACACTCCGCATCTCTGATAATTGTCAAATTGAGATTCATATGAAGCAAAGGAATCTAATTTTCCTTTGCTGAAAAGTACAATGACAATTTTTTTTTTGCCTAGGATATCACATTACCAACATACTGGAGTATTCAGCATATTATGAAGCATCTCAAAACAAAAATCAATACATCAAAATTCGACCTGTTGTTCCAGTATATTCTGTTCATCATTTACAATCAGTTTTAACATAAGATCTGTTCATGAGTTCAGTCTTTTGAAAACTGAATTCTACTGCCAGGGAACAAATGAAATATAATATAAAATGTGGACAAGAAAACAAAAACAAAAAAGTGCAACACATTACAGTTCCCATTCTTAAATTTGTAAGTTCATTTCTCTTAATATAATGTACCATTGAGAGAAAAAATTTTGAGACCACAACAAATTTATTCATTAGCTTAATATTTAAATTCCTTTTTTGTAAAGATGGTACCCAAGTCACAACCCGGAAAATTTTCTTGTCAACTCAAAGGTGTTTTATCCAATGAACGTTGCAAAGGCGTTCAAACTAAGTCAACATTCTCAACAATTTTTATTCTTCAGGAAAACGTATTTGTCTTAAAAATAACCTGCAGATAACAGTGTTTGTTGTTCAACCTGCAACCTCTCTTATATTTAATATAAACAAAAGCAACTCGTAATTACAAAAAGATAAATCATATAAATCCCTACATTCTTCCAGTTAACCAAATTGTCTTAGAAGTGTAAATTCCCTTTGTGCGAACAGCAGGCACCATTTTATTTTGTGAAGTGATGAACTTGGCCTTACACATCAGACACTAGGACAGTCAAAGTCAGAAGTTATTAGAACAATAGCAAGTAATCTAGCCAAAACCTTACCTTGGGTTTTTCTACCTCTTTGTCCTTTCTTTCTGACTTCGGTGGTTTGCGAGCCATAAGGGTTTGGATTTCCTTCCAGTCATTGTCAAGCTTTTCTGTGAGTTCTAATGCACTTTCTCTCTGACTTTGCCTCACTTGCTAGAAAAATAAATCACAAATGTATCAGTTACATTCAGCTGAACATGACAAAGCATTTATAGCACTGTTGTGCCAAAATGCTGTCTTTAGCAAATAATTTCAAATACTTAACATTTTAAAGGTAAAAAACTCTCTGTGGCAGAAGCAGTACAGTTATCCTGAATGCCACACAGGCTGCATACAGAAAACAAGTCAAGAGGAGAGATTTGGAGATACGAAAGAATGGTAAATATCTAATGCATTTCCTAAAACTTCTCCAAGGGCAGATAGGCTTTATGCAAGGACCTCAGACTTGTTTCCTCGACAGCTATCTACCTTGCTTTCCAAGCCACTATTTTATTCCACAAAGACAGAGATTACGACGCCTTCTTAACCATGCATAACTTATACATTAGGGCTAAAAACTCACCTTTTCTTGTTTAGATTTGGCTATCAACTCTTCTATGAGTTCCTTTCTAGATTTGGGTTTTTCCTCCTCTTCATCGTCCTGCCCACTTGATGCTTTTTTACGAAGCAGGCCTCCACCCCCTCCAAAGTGAGCGGCGGTTAACTCAGCTAGAAGAGAAAATAAATTGTGAATCCTTTTCAAATCCATACATCAGTGCTGATTCTGCTGGGACAGTATCTCCCCATTACTTGAGAACGGGAGCAATTAAAAGTATTTAATCATCCGTGTACTATTCTCATCCCTATGAACAGCCATACCAAGACAGAGATGCTGGCCACATACTTTAGGCTGACAAACATTTTGTGTGAGATAGGAATATGTTTTTTCAACATTCCAACTAGGATTTAGGTGCAGAGATGCAAGAAAGCAACTTAAACTTCAGATGCTACCCAACACCCTCTAAATATTAATGCTGAAAAGCCCAGAGATTAAAGAAGCTTGCCAGGAAGGTTGTTTCAGCTCAACCTCTCCTAAGATCCACACAGCTGTTCCATGTGTGTAATCAAAACTGGCTTAAACTTCCCAACTGGTTACATAATACTCTTCTTCAGTGAAGGACAGTACAGAACAAATGACAAAAATGTATCACCAACAAAACAATCAAAAAACCATAGAGCAGTGGGATGTTAGCTGACATGTCCTACCTGACAACGTTCCTCTTTCTTCTGTGTCACTATCACTATCAACAATATCATTCAGTTTTTCAATTTCTGCCAAAGATTGGCCATAGTGAGTCAATTCTTCATCTTCATTAAGGTTATAGATATTTTTCTTTCCATAATTTTGCTAAGGATAGTAGAACAAACCAATTAAATAACATAGGATTTCTAGCTTCAGGCAATAAATTAATAAAGGCAGTCCTTTCAATGCTAATTGAGGAAATTCTTATTCCAGTTCTCTGCTGTTTTCAGAACACTACTAGATCAGTCTTTTCATTCAAATACCTTAAACCTTAACCAAGGGAGCACGATGCCTCTCTTATTCTAATGTAGAAATGAAGTAACTCAGAGAACTTAAAAAAGCTTAAGTTTTATCTGTATACCATTACCATCAACGATTCACTATCACATTTCTGACCTAATGAAATTGCCTATAACCTACAGAAAGCATGAGTAGACATTGATATTGCACTACTCAGTGCTCAACTCTGGAGACTGAGTATAATGAGGTGGAAATACTGGTCCTACACATACACTTCACATTACAGAAAGACAGCAGGTTACAGAGTTCCTCTAGTCAGCAAATGAAATGGCTGTTTTCCAACAGTTATAGTGGAATCTCAGATTGTACTTGATGGTGGTTGCCTTTTTTCTAAATCAATTCCCAAATCATAACGAGTCTAGAACAAAGAAAACCAACTGATCAAATTAAAACTGGCTTTCTTCATAGACTGATAGAATGGTTTGGGTTGGAAGAGACCGTGAAGGTCACCCAGTTCCTACCCCCCTGCCATGGGCAGGGACACCTCCCATCCGCCCAGGCTGCCCAAAGACCCATCCAGCCAAGGCCACTTGGGCACGTCCAGGGCTGGGGCATCCACAGCTTCTCTGGGCAGCCTGTTCCAGTGCCTCACCACCCTCTGAGTAAAGAATGTCCTCCTAACATCTAGTCTAAATCTCCCTTCTTTTAGTTAAAAACATTACCCCTTGTCCAATCGCTGTATCCCCTGACAGAGAGTCCCTCCCTAGCTTTCCTGTAGCCCTCTTTAGGTATTAGGCTGCTGTAAGGTCTCCCCAGAGCCTTCTATCCAGGCTGAACAACCCCAACTCCCCCAGCTGGTCTTCATAGGAGAAATTCTTGCACATCAGTGCTCAAATAAATTTCTGCTTTAAAAAGTTGTCTTGCAAAACCAGGGAGATTTCATGGAAAATTCTGGATTCCCACAAACAATTGTGTTGTGTTTCTTTTTTTTTTTTTTGTTTTTTCATAAAGAGTTTCTAACATATAAACTCTAAAATAGAAAGCATTAGCCTGCAAAACCCTCTTAAGGGCAACCCTACCAACCTAATGTGTTTTTCTTTCTTTCTTTTTTTTTTTTTTTTTCCAAATTCCCATTGCTATACTTTACCTGTCTTTCCAAAGTGAATCGTCTTATCATCTTTTCCTCTGGACTTATTTTAGTGTTATATTCACCAAAACGTTTATCTTTAAACACATTTGTCTTTTCTTTTTCTTTATATTCTTTCAGTAATGTTTGGGTACGCTAGAATAAAAAGAGGAGATTAAATTAAAAAGTGAAGAGAATAAATACTTTCAAAACCAAGGCAAGAAAGGCTCTACAGTATCCTGGCAATATCATCGAGTTGATAAGAATGCAGTGAAATAGAAGTGAAAACTGAACAATGAAAAGAGATGGGAAGTTCATACAACAGAGACATTAACTTTAACATTATCTTAAATTCTAATTCTAATTAATCCTAATTTCAGTCTGAAGCTTAGTATAAGAGAGTAACATATTAAAGAAAGCAACAAAACCCCGGTGCCAACTGAACCTCTTCTCGTCTTGTCATCTAAGACACAAATAAAAACAAAAAAAAAAACAAGAGGGTACATACATTTAGTTCTCTGCTTTAATGTTGAGCACAGGAAGGTTATGCATCAGAGAAGTAAAAGCAAGTTAACAGACCTATGTGAGGTTGTATATGCTGCACTTCTGGCACAAGTATGAAGACAGGCTTACTTTTCAGTGCCAGTGAAATTACAAATGCCAGTTTCATTACAAACACTTGATTTACCTCATTATTAAAACCCAAAGACCTTCAAATGTGACATTAAATGCTATTAAGTTGTCTCAAATCTAGACAAACAGTAATGAGGGCTGAAAGCTAAAATACAATTTCATGCTGAAATTACTACATAGTTCCTAAAGGAAGAAAATACTGGCTGTGCTTAGATTCAAAAAGATCCACGTTCATTTAGAACATGTTAACGAAATCTGATGGGCAGGTATCTTTGCTATTGATAGTGCAATGAACTTGCAAGCTACTGCTGTGAAGGAAAAGGCTGAGTTTCCTGAAACAGGTTTCTACAGCCCTACTGAGCATCCCAAACTTGCAGACACCCCTGTAAGTGAAGCCTGGCTTCTGCTGTCAGTATGACGGTTCTACCTTCTATTTACTTCCTACACGGAATACATCATGCAACTTTAATACTGCTCGAGTCCATTAATGTATCTTAATACCTTGGATATGGAAAAGCACCTTTGTTGATCAATTATTTGATGTCCTTTCTCATTGATGACTTTTATTCATGAAACTTTATTTAATGCATCACCTCTCACAATGCATGTAAAATGATAGTTTCTTTCTGCTACACATTCTTTTTTAAAATAACTTCTCTTTTCAGTTCATGCTTCAAATTCCGTTTTGTTTTCAAATAAATTCCATATCTGTATCAGAGAGAATCTCAGGAACAAACTTTTAAACCATAGTTTTTCAGTGTTAACAAAATCTACAGAAAATTTTACCTTTCCAAATCACTGGTAGTTTTTGCATGTCTACGCAGTTCCCACTGCAGTAAGGCCCTACTCCTCTTCCAGGCTTTTACTATTACAATAACATTGCACCATCAAGAAGCTTAACATCCTGCAGCATCTAAATGTGACCAAGATAACGAACGCTTAATACTATCTGTGCTGCAGTCCAGTATTTGCATCCTGGCCACATGTGCTGCTGTGCTTGGGTCAGGGCCATTTGAGAAGAGGCTCGTTCCCACACACGTGATGAGGGCTTGCATCGATGATCCACGTGCAGTGCACTGGGGAGGGATGTTTGTCAGGCTCTCCATCACCATCAGAGCACCATGAGGTGAGGTGAGATGAGGAGAGGAACCATTTGTGGCACACAGGATGGATTTGCCTCTCCCCTCCAGGCTTAATGCCTCCCCTCCACAGCTTCCCCTACAGCTGCTGCCCTCCCTTTCCAGCTCTGACCCTTTCTTACCTTCTTGATGGCCTTCGAGCGCGAGACGCCGGGCAGCCCCACGTCGTTCTTGGTCTTCCTGCCCAGGATGTCGAATTTCTGCCTGTTGACCTTCACCTCGAAGGGGTTGCTCCTCACCATGGCCATGGCTGACTCCGCCGAACCCTTGCCCCGGGAGGGCGCGGAGGCCTTAGGCCTCTTTTTGGCTGCCTTCCCCATTCCAAAGCAGGAGAAGGGGACTCAGAGGGGACAGGCGGACTGACAGACGGACTGACAGACCCAACAACCAAAATGGCGGCGGGGCAAAGCCCCCCTCAGCCCTCCCGGCCGCCCCCCGACCAAATCGCGCGAGACTTCCCCCGGAAATCCCGCGAGATCCCCGGGGCGGCGCGGCGATGCGGAGGGAGCCGCGCGGTGCCCGCGCTCCCGCACCCCGCGTGCCCCCAGCGCCCGCCACGCACCGGCGGCGGCCCCGCGAAGTCTCGCGAGAGCTGTCCCCAAACGTCGCGAGACTTGCCGCCCTTCTCCCCTCCCGCTTCGGCGGTGATTCACGGGGAAGGTTGGGACAGGGCTGAGGCGCGCACTACGAATCCCAGCATGCAAAGCGCGGTGGGGCGCAGGGGAGACGGCGAGCTGTGCCGCGCGGGGGATACTGGGAGTTGTAGTTTTCACGAGGGGGTGAGGCAGAGGCGGAGTTGCCTGAGGAGAAGGAGGAGGAGGAGGAGGAGGAGGAGGGCGGCGAGCTATGGTCGGGGCGGGCGGGCGCTGCCTGCTCCTTGCCTCCGCCCTCGGGGAGGGGGAGGCCGGTGCCGGGCCGAGCAGCGGGTGATGATGGGGAAGAGGCGAGCGCAGCGCTGAGGGGCCGCGGGGCCGGATGAGCGGCGGCGAGGCGCTGGCGGGGCGGGAGGAGGAGGAAGAAGAAGGAGAAGGAGAAGAAGAAGAAGGGGCGACGGAGGCTGGCCTGAGGGGAAGGAGCCCCCCCGACCATGGAGATCGAGAACATCGTGGCCAACACGGTGCTGCTGAAAGCCCGGGAGGGTGAGAGCTGAGGGGGGGAGGGAGGAAGAGGAGGGAAGGGCTGAGGGAGGAAGGGGCCGGGGTGAGGGGGGGAGAGGGTTCGAGCCCCGCTTCGCACCAGCGAGGTTTTAGGAGCCTTCTGCTGTCGGGCTGCTGCCGAGAGACCCGTCTGTGCCTGCAAAAGGGCCCAGGGACCCCAGGCTCCTGTGGAAGACCCCGAGCCTTCGTCCGCCCGCAACGCCTGCCTCAGGGAATCGGCCGCCTGCACCCTGCAGATGGGTTTTCTGTCACGTTTTGGGGTATTTCCGTGGGGTCAAACCTGAGGGTTTATTCCCCAGAGCATCTGGACCTGAAGATTCCTCTCCCACCTAACACACGTTTTTAACAGATGCAAATTTTCACCTACCGAATGGTACCAAACGTTTTAATAGATACAAAGCTTCACTTACCAAACAAGCATTGTTTACAAAAACCTCCCGAAATGAGGTTATACTTACTCCTTTTTCGCATATATAGCTGTCCATTAAACGGCCACTTGAAAGCCTCTCCAGATTACCACCGTGCTCCGTGTGGAGTCTGTTTTTCAGCTTCGAAATGCGCAGATTCTTCTTGGATTGGATCCTGCTTTTCTTAATTGCCTTGAGAAGTCCCATTAGTTTAGTTGAGCTGTTTAAAGTGAGTAAGAACAACAGAATCTTCTCCTGTATGTTTTGCAAGTTCCTCCAACTCTAAATGGGTTTGGCACTTACGCCATATGTGTATCCAGTTAAATTTGCCTTAAGCAGCAAGAGAGGAAAATCAACTTTCTGGCTTTGAAGTGGGGTTTAAAAACCAGAGCAGCGATCACGATTTGGGCTATTTCCCAACTTTAGCTGAAAAGACCACCTCAAACCGTAGGACATGTTTTGGCTGGTTTCACTGACAGTACATGTCTGTGGCGCTGCCTGGATTTGGAGTTCGCATTGAAGTGATCTGAGAAATGAAGGGAAAGTGGAATCTGGCTCAAAACTTTACTGTGCCCAAACCCTCACCACAAAGAGTGGAGTGGTAGTCTGGAAAAGCTTTTAAGTGGCTGCTTAATGTCAGGTTGCCTCTTTAGTTAAGGTTTCACTATGTTTAAAATAAATTACAGTGGTAGAACTGACCAAACAAGATATTTTAATGAACGAAATGAAAGTCTGACAGGAGTTGATGTAAAGAAGATCAGCTCTATCTGACGTGAAGCTTTAAAAAGTAGTGGTAATAAACTGTTACTCTTTTGTACCTTCAGCTGGCCTGGGCTTTTTTAGTGTAAGCATAACCAATAATGCCATTTCTGGCTTTAAAACCCCACTGGTAGAGGGACCTGTGCCTTTTCAGGTCTGTGCCCCTGTGCTTGGGGTAGTTTGTGCATCGATGCTCCCTAAAATGAAAGTAGTTTCTGTCTGTTGCATTGCCTTTTCTGATCTCTCTGGTTTACTCCTCTTGGGACTATCCCATAAAATCCCTGTCCTAGCTCTCTTCTTATGTGCCTGGTGTGCTTTAAAGGAACAAAATTTGTAGAGACAGTCTGTGTAGTAGTTTAACTTAGTGTAATATGGTCATCGCTGAAAGGGCCTTGCAACTGTGACAGAAAAGCAGATTTACAATTCTTTTTTCTTACTGTATAGTGTAGGGAGAGGTGCGAGGGAGTGGAAGAGTGCAGGATTACTGTTGCGCATAGAAGGTGAAATCCTAAACTAGCATGGAGTAACAGCTTACCTGATTTTCCTGTGCAGGCTTGAGGCATATCAGTAATTCTTTTTCTAGTTTGTCAGTGTATTGCAGATGTGAAGAGTGTTTACCTGTATAAATGTATCAGTTCTATAAGCAAAAGTGGTGAGATAGAAAGCACCGTGCTCTTGTTTTATAGGTAGCAGGGACATGCTGAGAGAAATTAATTTAGGCTTAATTATGGTCTGCATGGTTCCCTGTCTAACTTGAGGTGCCTTCATGATGAAGGTGATGGTAGGAAAAAACTGTAGTCTTGAAAGCATTTTGCTAAGTCTTTTAGCCCCAGAGCTAAGTTAGCTTCATTTTGCAAATACAGAATGTGAATGACACATGAATGATGTGTCCTTGCCCTCATCTGGTGAGAAGGTATTGCAGAGGCTTAATCAGAATTCAGAAATGCTTGGTAAATAGTGTCGCTTCTAAAGAAAATTATAACTGAGTGCTTAAACCAGACCTGACATTCAAAATTGTGATCCCAAATTTGCGCTCCTCAGTTTCCTCTAATTTTAGGCAGTGATGTTTTTGCATGTGAATGTTGTTTGCATGTGCGTATCATTGGGGTTTTGCATTGGTAGGTGGACAGAATTAGCACACCTTGGACAGCTAGGAGCACGTCTCATGTCTCAAGCTGATCTTACATATATAAAGCTTGCTGCATGGAACTGGAGAGCCATGAACTAGTAAGTGTCCTTAGGCAGAATGTAGTTTTTTTTTTTTTTTTTTCTACTTTCTCTCCTACAGAATAAAACCCAAGTGGTATGGCTGTTTGCCTTTACGCTAACAGTTCTGCTGATAATTTATTTCATTGGATGCACGAATCATCTAGTTCACTTTGTGTGATGATAAGGTTGGTTTATAAAAGTTTGCTAGTCCCAATTTTGAGGTCAGATCAATCCCCTGCTTCCCTCCAGCCTCCACACTCCCAACTCTGTTTTATGTTGCTATTCTCTGAGAGGATTTTTGAAGTGTTTTCATAAAATGAGTTATTTCAATAGAAGCCTGGCACTTCCCAATAACGGCTTGTCATAATATCTCTGCAGCAACTACAACATTTCTTTGTGCAAAGAAGGAAAGCTGTGAGAATTACTTAGCTCCTTTTAATGTGACTTTGTAAATAATCAGATCATCACACATGGGCGTTTGTGGTGGCTTGCAATGACTTTTGTATGTGCCTAGTGCCAGAAAATACTGTGATAACATAGAGTAAGTACCCTGTGGTGCTTTGCGGCTGAAAGACTGAAGAGTCAGGAGCTGTAGTGGGAGTTTTCTCTTTCCTGCACTTTTCCAGTTGACCTGCTTGTGCTGAGAGACTGTGCTGCTTGTCCCCAGTGGGATTTGCCTCCAGGTGAAAATCGTAGTGCAGGGTGCTCTGGCATTCCCTGCCCCAGTTCCTTGGGACAAGTGGCCTGCGCTAATCCAGCACCCTTCCTCTTCTGCATGCTTTGCTTTTTAAGGGTAATCTCTGTGAAAGAAAACTTCCTCTGTAGGTCAGCCCTGTGGAGGAACAGCACGAGTGACTCAGTAGAAAAACAAGAGATTATAAAGCAAACCTGAAGTTGATTTTGTGAGCTCTGTAGTGCAGGAACTGAGATATAAAAACGGTTAAGTGATAGTGATGTGTGAACTGGGAGACAGACAGCGAAAAGCCTTGCAGTTTCATGATCTCCTTACTCAGACTTCTCACATACAGGGGTTTTTATGTGTAAAAGAATGTAGCAATATAAATTTTAGTTTTGTACAAGAGCAGAGGAATTAAGAAATTCATTTTTTTCCCAGCAAAAACATCTTTGAAATTAGTATCTCTTAAAAATATTGAAAAATTTAACCCAGAAATATGTCCAAATAATAAATATAAGCTAGGTTATTCTGAAGGAAATCTAAAAGTTCAGGAACAAAACTACATTTTGTGTTTTATACTCGCTTTTCTCTTTATTTATATTGGTAGCTTCTGTTTTTCATAGCCGTTTCAATCACTCTCAATAAATCCTTTGAGTAGATGTAAGCTCCAAGTTCCCTTTAGCATCCCACATGTAATCGGTGAGGTTTTGAAAGAAGTTCATCGCTGGATATTTTAAACTGCGTAAGAGCCTTCCTTTTTTCATTGCCTAAAGTAATATTCTGCAGAAAGACTTCCAAAGGGTAGATCTGCAGGTCCTTTGAAGTCAATGGCAGTTCACCCCAACTGGGGACCCATGCCAAGAGCACATTTCGAACATACCTGGTCCATTTGCATCCACTTGCAAATTCATTCCTACTGACCTGGCAGGAGCAAATTGCAAATGAGAACAGAGCCTGCTGGTAGGCACATAATGTGCTGTGTGCCATGATTAGTTTAAGCTGAATTAAGATCATGCCTCAGTTGGAAGCGGCGTTTCCCCCAAGCTTTTGGTTGTATTGGTTCAAGCCTGTGGTTGCCGAAGGGGTCCGATGGTTTATAGGTCCAAGTGGAATGTAATCATGGGTACGTGGGTTGTTAAGGTGTTTTTTTTCCCTGTGTTGTCGGGTGGTGGTTTTTTAATTCCAAAATTAGATTTCAGATGGATCAGCGAGCTCCTGTGCTTCTGATAATTGTTCAGTGCAACCCAAGGACGGAGTTAGCAGGGACCTTTTGGTAATAAAATGCGATCGCAGTTTGGTTTCAGCTAATCTTGAAAGATACCTGCTTCAGGATTGAAACTTTGTTGGGTTAACACCTCACAGAACATAAGCAGTCCACTTAGATGGT